GGACAGATTGCAATCCCCCAAAACACGGTGGCTGGATGGATGGCAGGACCATTTTAATACATAGCCCCTCCCCCCCCCCCCCCCCCTGCTTTGTGCCCTATTCTGCCTGGGACAGATTGCAATCCCCCAAAACACGGTGGCTGGATGGATGGCAGGACCATTTTAATACATAGCCCCTCCCCCCCCCACCCCCCACTAATGAGGGCCCCCAACTAATCTTGTTTAAAAAGAATTTAAACTCAAGCTGTTATAAGGGGTTGGTCATGTACCAACCTCTACAAATTACTGAACAAAAATGAGTTTGAGGGTTTATTCACAATGGACATGGTTTCCAAGGAGACCATTTTGTCTGGTTGGATGATGCAGGCCGTGGTCAGAAAGTTCCCTCAGTGGGAATGAAACGAAGGTTACAGCACGTGTGCATAACGTGGAACAGACAGCAGCCTCAGCCGACGCCACACTGGGAATACCGTGTTCCGGGTCAGTATCCCATCCGCAGAACCGTCACCACCGCGGTAGCTCCCGGACATCAGCTCATATTTAAAAATACTACGATGACTCCTGGGTTCATGGTTCAGCCGGTCAATTCAAGGCTTTCCTCGCCTTATAAGCCATAAAGAAACACAGAGCAGCCATCACACACACACACACACACACACATCACAATGGTAGATGGCCCAGGATATTTTTCCCAACAGAATTCCAGGAAAATAAGCAGGAGCCAACATCCCCCTCAGATGGATTTACAGTGAAATACCACTGAAGTCACCCATATCTCTTTAGATACCAAAGAGTCATGCATTTCCTGCAGTAGGTGCAGCAAAGCAGCCTGACATGCGGCGTCCAGCAGAAAAATACAGGAGGACACAGTGAACCTAAAGAGATCAGGCGACGGACGCCCCAGCATACAAATTGGCTGCTTTATTCACCAGCTGAGATTTCCGCTATCGGGCGCAGTTGCTGCTCTGCCTCGCATTTCCTATGATCAGACTGTGGTGCTGAAGCGCCGATCGGCATCTTTTTTAATATAACAAGTAGCAACAAGGTGCGCATCTAGTTACAACAGTGTAACTTGTGAGTCTCCGTGTTACTCTGCTTCTGGATATTTTTGCAAATTGGGGCCACTGAAACATTGATTTTTTTTTTTTTTTTTTTTTTTGTCCTTCATACTTTTTGGAGGAATAAAGAAAAACTTGATTAGACCATTGTCGAGTCGCACAAATGCAGAAACTGTGGCTAATCCGGGCAGCCCTAACACTGCAGCCTGCCTTTTATCCAAGCCCCCATTCAGCGGACACGGGAGATTCCCACGAAGCTGTAACCCTCCCACCCCCATACACACACACACACACACACACACACACATATCCACCCCCGTTCCCAGCACTTTAGCACAATGAGAGCCCATAGATCAGAGCCGCAGGACCCGCCGGGCGCACGCCTGCTCCCGCTTTTGGGCTCCCCGCAGCCCGGCGGCTATAACCGGGCTGACAGGCGCCCTGCCTGCATATCAAGAAAAGCGGCCGGTGCGTGTGACTGACCATAAGACCCCAAACCAAGCAGACCCGACAGAGCCATCAGCTACCCAGCAGCGGCTATAAGCTGATTTACAGAACCCTCGTATTCATTTCCCGAACCATCGCTGCAGTGGCGTTTTAACTGGATCCACAGCGCGGTGAATCGCCGCAAACCCATGCAATCACCAGCAACTGTTAGGTATTTTTTTGTAACAAAATTACCAAACTGATAGTTTATACTGATTACTAATATATACCACATATGCAATTAACTAATAAACTTGGCACAGTTTCCCTGTTTATCTCCTCTCCCATTAAAATCCAGTTACGCCAGGGGGCAAACGCGGATTACCGTCCTCCGTGTATCAGTTTGAAAATATGTGAAAACCCGAAGCACGAAACATAATACAGCAATAACGTAGGTTATAAACTAAACTAAATGTAAAGCGGAAAAATACACAGTCACCTGTTTTCCACTTGGAGCTGATCTACCCGTATCTGCAAAATGTCGACGGGGTCGCCTGTAACACACACACCACCTTTTTTGCCGTATTTCTTCTGATTAAATGCATAATAGACATGATAAAAAATGCCGCGGCCACGCACTGGTTTACCTGGTTAAAGGTAAACTGGTCAGCATCAAGCTGTGTCCGATGCTCCTCATAACTGCAGCTCCGCGTCGCAATCCGTGGGTAACAACTACACATCAGGAAGGTTCTCAACTTGTTCGACACGGAAAGTGTAAAAAAAGATCTTAAATGCATCTTAAAGAAAATGCACTTGCAGGAATTACGCGACACATGCATCCATGGAAGACGTTTCGCAGATCGATGCATGTGATTTGCACGGTGCAGAAACGTCTCGCGGACCCGTGCATGCGATCGGCACCGCGCTGCACTTCCAGGGGCACTTGCTGCTCTTACCTTCCCGCTGATGTGAGAAAGCGATGCTCCGGCACTTGTCATAGTGGGAACCCAATTAACCCCCGATGGCGATGGCTACACAGGTCCATGACTGCTCTCAAAGCAAAGGTACCATCCCAGAAGTAAGTGAAGAGAGCCCGCACTACATCCTTCCTCGGCCAGGCTTTCTCACACTCCCGGCCGGCTGCCCCTCTCTCCAGGCTGGCCGACACCTCCGCCAAGGCAGCCAATACCGCGCCAGCCAGCGGTTAACTCTTCCCTGGTCTCGCTGACCTGGTTTATAAATACGGGAGCGGGAGGGTGAACAGGGGGTCCTGAATCGGAAATACAAATGGGAACGTTATGGTGAAGAAGAACTTTTGATACGCGCTGCTTGTTATTTACATAAGGTAAATGTGATGGGTATATAAACCCACATATGAGGAGTGAACTTTATACTGCATGGGTAAAGGATACGCGCATAAATGTGTGTGTATCTGTGTGTGTGTGTGTGTGTGTGTGTGTGTGTGTGTGTATAACAAAACAAAATCATACTCGGAAATTACAACAGAATATTTTTAAACGTAT